GCAGACCAAGTGTCAGTACGTGTCGGCAACACAAGGACACGAGCCTGCTAGGAATGCTGCAGAGGATCCTGGAAGTTATAGAGAAGCCACAGATTATTTTCTAATGGTCCCAGTTGAAAATACAGAAAAAGTGAAGGCAGGACTTTAGAACTAAACTCAGTCCAGCCAGGAGGACTTGTCCCTCTGCGGTACTGACCCACAGCACAGACGCAACAGATGGGGTGGGGGTACAGCTGACTTGCAGCAGAACTGTAATTCTCTTCAAAATGTCAAAGGTTAATTTACACTTAAAAACTTCTCCAAAATATTAGTGACTAGAATGCAGAACAATTAGAGTGTTCAGAACCTGCAACAGAGCAATTTACCCTTTACTTATTTATTTATTCTATAAAATAAGGAGAGAGAGAATGGGGTGGGGGCACTTCATTCCACAGTCCATCCCATCCTTAGCCAGCCAGGATCACAGACATGCACCTGTGTCCGTGGTGTGCTCAGGGAGGCCTCGGGATGTGAACCCCATGGCTCCCGTATGGCTCTAGCATTGTAGAGTATTATTATGTTACTGCTGTACCACCAGCTGGCCCCATCAGCCACTCTTCAGATAGTAGGATGGCTTTGACATTTTCAGATACGCTGAGTTCAAAGGATATAAAATATATCCATAAAATCAAGCCTGACAGAAATCAAGCATGGAGAGGGGGGGGGGGATACCCTTTTGGTGTTCCTAGAAAGTCAAACTCCAGTGGAGTTGAAGGAAACCCATTTTGAGCTTTAGAGTCACTTTTTTAGAGCATTGTTTCATGGAGTTGAGTGAGTTCTTAGACTGTACCTTTTAATTTTCCTGTTTTCAAATAGCAGTGAGATTCCCTCATATCACTGAAGAGAAAAGACTCCGTGTGTTGACAGGAAGCCCGGGCATGGTGGGAGGTAGAAGTCTAACGCAGCCGGTGTGTGAGAAGGGATGGCAACACGAGGACGCGGGCAGAGGGACAGGAGCCCAGGTTCTAGTTTCGCTTCCCTTGGTGCTGGCTTTGGGATCTTCGAGTGTCCCTAATGTTCTGAGCCTTGTTTCCTCATCTATAAAAGTGGGATGATTCGACTGAAGTAAATGTTAAGTGGAAAAGGCACCTTGGAAGGGCTCTAAGTAGAAGTCTGACTGTTATTCTCCCGACGTGAGGTTTCTGCTTCAACATGTGGAGTTTCTTCATTGGCTCAGCCCCAGGTCTCCTCAAATGCCCTGTAGACGGGGCCAAAAAGCACGTGTGCTGACGGCTCATTCTGAGCGCTGGGCCTCAGGAACCTTCACAGTCTGACTCATCTAACTGCTCCTCACATTTCTTTTCATGGAAACATCAATCTTCAGGCTTTTTTTTTTTAAGAAAAAGTAGAAGAAATCACTAGAGAACCCAGTGGTTTCCTTTGGGAGTCTGAGCCCTGTCACAGCTCCCCCCGGGTTTGTGCCTCATGTCCCAGAATCAACATGCCACGTTGAACATGCTGCAGATTAAGCCCACAGCCAGTTCTGACCGAGTCCCCTGTCCATCTGGAAGGGGTGTCAGACGCTGGCCTGGACTCCTAAGTGTAATAAAGAATAATTTTGTTGTTAAAAACAACAGTGAAAGGCAAAGTAGGATTTGGATCTCATCATATAAACCAGTTTTAAGCAATAAGCTAATGGTGACTTGATTCATAAATCTGTAATTTCAAAGCATTTTCCATACTGAGCAAAGAGAAATTCCTTTACAAATACATATGGCCAAAACCATATCTAGCGAAACTTTTAATCTTACATTATTCTGAAAATCTTTATGGTGAAAGTATTATAAACTTATAATATGTTCAAGTGTCACCTTTAATAAAAGTTAATACATCAATGGGCCAACTCCGTGGTATGACAATGAGGCAGTACTCAAGAGAAGCCTGAGTCCATATGATATCCCCGGTTCAAATCCCTCACCGAGTCAGCCTGAAACACACTGGGCATATGCATGACCCCCAAGATGCGATGTGTTGAAGGGTTGGAGGAAAGGGGTTGCAACGTGACCAGACCCTGTGGAGGGTGCTCCTACCTCTCGTTTCTTTTTATTTTCCTCTCTTTCTCTCCCACATGTGGGCACACACATGTTCTATTGTGAATAAAGAAAAAAAATTAAAGGGACCAGCAGTTAGCGTAATGGCTATGTCGCTGGACTCCCACGTAGTCGGCCACAGTTCGAGTCCCGGACCCGGTCGCTTAAACTCACGCCGGGCGCGTGTGCGTGCATGCCCAAGATCCCTACAGGAGAATGGAGGAGAAGGGATTGCGGCGTGGTCATCCCCCCTGGGGGGTGATTTCCTGCTTTCTGTCTCTCTGTCTCTCTCTGTCTGTCTGGCGAGCGCACACGCCCTATAGCGAAAATCTCTCCAAAAAAAAAAAATAATAATAAATAAAAAATTTGGCTGCAGCCAAAAGCCGTGAAGTAGAGTTTTACCTAGCAGGAGTGAGCACAGGGTAGGTTGCCCTGTCCTTTGGATGTACTGCTCAGGAGGAGTTCTGAGGATCTTGGGAGGTATAGTTCTCCCATGGTCTCAGCAACAAAGAAGAACCAGTTATGGGTAAGCATTGGGGTCCCCATCACAGTGGAAAAACAAAAACTTTTTTTAAAGGATGCCTTTTGGGACCAGCAGTTAGCGTAATGGCTATGTCGTTGGACTCCCACGTAGTCGACCACGGTTCACGTCCCGGACCCGGTGGCTTAAAACCCACGATGGGTGCGTGTGCGTGCATGCCCAAGATCCTGAGAGGAGAATGGAGGAGAAGGGATTGTGGTGTGGCCATCCCCCCTGGGGGTGATTTCTCGCTTTCTATCTCTCTGTCTCTGTCTGTCTGGTGAGCGCGCGCGCCCTATAGTAAAAACCACTAAAAATAAGGTTGCCTTTTGATTACCTTTCTTGAATTTCTTTGTCCAACAGCTGAAACTCCAGTTGTGGATTAGGCGGGTTGACTTGTAGTTTTCCACTGTTTTCTTTAACATCCTTTTATTATAATCTTAACATTTGTCATTTCCATATAAACATAAAACATCTTTGATAAAGCATCACCCTCGGAGAATGAGCAAGAAGGATCAACTGTTTGCCTTCTTCCTGCCTCAAACCGCCCTTTCCCACATGCTGTTCCAGGCTGGACCAGTGCTGCCAGAATATTCAGCCCCCTGAGTCAGTCATGTCACAACCACGGTGGGCAACGTGGGGTGTGGTCTGGCTGAAACATTATCCTTTTGGAAGTCACAAGCAGGTGCTGCTGAGTTAGGCCCACATGGCTTTTGAACAGCTCCTTGGTTCATCCAGGGCTCTACCAGGCACTGGGGAGCAGGGAGAAGGGTCTGAGATGGCCCCTGCCATTTTGGAGCAGATGCTCATTAAGAAAGAAAAGCCATGTGCACCAATGGCTTTGAGTCGGGAGAGTCCTGTCAGGGCAGCCAGATGCTAGAAGAGTGGGTAAGACTGTCAGTTGGTGCAGGTGATGGGTGAGGGCTTCTCAGGGCAGGGTAACGGGGTGAGCAGAGCCAGAGAGGCAAAGGGTACAGCCTGTTTAGTCATTCATGTGTTCAAAGTGAGTGCACCACTCCCCGTATCTGTCAGATGCTTCTGTCCAGCCACTTAGCAGGGCATATTGAAGCCCTGGCGTTAGCTTTGGGTTGCTAGTTCCATGAGATCAAGGAGGATATACTTTTCTGCCTTTGTTAGCCCCCGTGGTGCCTGGGAGTATTTTCTATGTGGTGACTGAAATGCTTGTATCATTACACACCACATTTTTGGTATGTTTTCAACCCCAGGAAACCCTTCTCAATAATGATTTCCATGTCCTTCATGTGACCTTTAAATATTGTGCCTTGATTTTTGTCTCCTGTCCAGCTATTGATCGATGTAACTCCACTCCTGCTCTGTGGTCCACGACGCCCTGTGGGTGCCTGTGTGTTTCACCTAGGTGTGATTCTGATTGGCTGACGTGGCATGGGAGGTGGCAGGTTAGAGAGAGGAAAAGGGAAAACTAGAAGGCTTTTCAAAAGATGCCAACCAGCACATTTGGTAGAAAAGTTAATAGAGACAGTGACAAGTTACTTCTGGACATAAAAGAAAAATGGGCATCCCCATAGCACAATGGTTAAGCACTGTACACTGGAACCAGATCCTACATGACTGACCATGGTTTGAATCCTGGTCCCTGTGGTTTGAAAGATACCCTAGCATAGTGGCAGGTGGCATAGTGATTAAGGTGCTGGATTCCCCTGTGGTCAACCCCGGTTTGAGCTCCGAACCTGGTGGCTTGAAACTCATGCTAGGCACGTGTGCATGTCTGCCCAGGATCCCAAGAGGAAAATGGAGGAGGAGGGATTGCAGCGTGGCCACGGAGGAGGGGAAGAGTAGGGGTGATTTCTTGCTTTCTGTCTCTCTGTCTCTTTCTGTCTCTCCAGTGAGCACATGTACCCTATAGCTAAAATCTCTAAAAAAAGAAAAAGAAAAAAGAAAGATACACTGGATACGTGTACATGCCCAAAATCCCGACAGGAAGGAGAAATGGAGACACGAAGATTGCCACATCACCACACTTTACTGGGGACGTGATTTCTTTCTCTCTCCCTCTGATGAGCAAGCACATATGCCCTCTGGTATTTACATAAATAAATAACAAAACACTAAGCCCTTTGAGGCATTATGGATGTTTAAATGCTCCAAGTTATGGAGCATGGTGGAAAGAAAAATAGAGGATTATCAACAAGCCTCAGAATGAGTCAAATGAGGTTCCTGGACTGAGCTACATTAAAAATATTTACTTGCCGTTGGAATTTAGTATTGACAGCTGAAGTCGAATGTGTTTGTTATATTTCTTTTTCATGTTAAGGTAGAGATGACGCCAAAGCTATCATTTCCTCCTTGGAATCCTAGGGTGCACAACGCCTTGTAAATGTCAGAACGTGGCCAGGCCCTGCTTGATTTTCCCTCTTGCTTTCTTATTACAGGAAATACCAGATACAGCCCACCGCCCTATGGGTTTCATCTCTCACCAGAAGAAGAAATGAGGAGGCAACAGCTTCACAGATTTGATGGCCAGTGAGGCGCAGGGCGTCTTGGGAAGATGTGATCCCGTTGGGTAATCAGCGAGCCCATTTGCTCATCCTCAAAGCCCCCAGTGAGTCACTACAGCCTTATCATCCCAGGTCGCTCACACCTGCCTTGGACCATCATCTGTGGCTCTGTGAGTCTAGGGTCAAAGCCTCGTTGACCCGACGTGGAGCCAGGCTGGTGGAGTGCTGTGCTCAGCTTTCGGGAGGGCCACCTTCTGGCGTCGCGCTTTCCCACACACGGAGGCCACTTCCTCAGTGCAGACTGCTTTCTACATGCCTGTCTCTCACTGCTGACTCAGTGGTGCCTCTGCCTTGTTTTGTTTTAGAAGACCATGACCTTCACCAGGAGGTTTGGTTTTCACCAGTTGGGCAGGCCAGTCCCTCCTTGTGCCTGGAATACTCCGTGTTTGACTTGGCGGGAGGTGAGGAGCCAGCCCTCCTCCGGCTGGCACCTTGCCACGCGACTGTCCAGGAACAGGATGTGGTGCCTTAGCAGTGGGACTCTCGTCTCCCTTCCTGGGACTCCTTGGCTTCTCGGGCCTCTGCATCCAGATGGTGTTTACGGAGCACTCACTCTGTTTCCATGTCACTCTGTCTTAGAGAGCGTTTTAGTGAAGAAGCATGAGGAGAACCTGCAGTGGGGAAGACACCCGTACATTTCGCCAGGTACCAGCTGGCACCAGCCAGCAGTTTGGGTTCCCAGCGGCCCCTCTGCTGTCAGCATGTACCCAGGAGATGGGGCTTGTTCTTGAACTTTCTGGCAATGCAACAGCAAGTGCCACGGGCCAAGTAGAGCCAAGGAGGGCAACAGATAGGTGGGTCACCAGCAGTCTTCTTGCAGGAAGTGTTTGTTTTTGTTTCCTCATAGAAGTGCCTCTTCATGGGCCACTGTTAACAGGTATGTGGTGGCCAAGTGCCCAAAATGCCCCTGGGCCCTGCAATATTATAATCCACGGTCGTCTGTCCAAGTCACTCTAGGTGTTTCTTGGTGCTTGTGTTTCATGAATAAAAGAACAAAGCCAAAACATTACTGCTGTTTTATTCCACAGAGATATTTATTTTTAAAGAGAGAAGAATGGATCTTCCTTGTTGGCTTTATCTACCATTTATATATAGTATTCTCATTATGAAAGCAATAGATACGGCTTCTGAATACATAACGCAAACATCTGGGAAATAAACGCATATGCTAACAAAGGTTGTCTTTGGGAGTGGAGGATACGGGAATTTGCTTTTTCCTTTGTAATTTTGTATTTTCATCTTGTAAAAATATGTGTTTGTGTCTGTGTTGTTTTTATAATCAGGAAAACTGAATAATATAATAATAAATCAAGAAATTTATAATCAGGAAAATGGTCGTAAAAGTAACTACTATGTAGCCATTTAAACAGAAATACAAATAAATACATACACAATTTTAACGTCACCTACATTGCTAGGTTGGTGTTTTGGAGGTATTGCTTTCCCAGTTTTTCTGTGTGTACATTTTACCAACTTTGAACAAGTTCACATCTAGTTCCTGATCTGAATTCACCTAGGAGAGGCCTTGACACTCGTGAGTGGATGAACTAAGAAGACCACTGGGTCCTGGGAGCACTCTGACCCACTGCTAGGACAGCCCCCAGCTCTCTGGGTTAATTTATAATTCAGGTAAAGCTACAGCTGTGTATAATACGAACTGCACCTGTGAATCTGGAAGCTAAAAACATGCTTAAAGTAAAATGTCCAAGATGAATGTCCTTCTTTTCTCCCAGACTCTGTAAAGTTACCTCCTGTTACTCCATTCAGAAGGAACCTCTTTCTTCCATGCCATCTTTTCATAGCACTTGGTGATTCTGTGACAACACAGATCCTTGCCCTTATTATCATTATTATTATTATCTGTGTACAACTATACAAAGACATGCCTTCTGTAAGAGGGTATAAATTGTGAATGACTCAAAGGCCTGTGTCTTATTTAACCTTTTCACTCATCCCATCTCCCCCTTCCACCACACAAAGGCTCACAGTAGAGGGCTCATTAAAAGTTATTAATAGAAGTTGTTGAAAGTTTCCCATGGGGCAGCCAGTGGCATGGTGGTTAAGGTGGCTGGATTCCATATGACTGACTGAGTAATTCGAGTCCCAGAGGCTTAAAAATCGTACCAGGCCTGTGTGTTTGCATGCCCAAATTCCTGAGAATGGAGGAGCAGTGATAACAGCATGGCCATCCCCGCTAGGAAGTGATCTTTCTCTCTCTCTCTCTCTCTCTCTCTCTCTCTCACTCACTTTAGGCATGTACACATGTACACAGCAATTGAATATAAAAATGAAGGGGAGAAAAGAAAGGAAGGAAGGGCTAACGAAAGGAAGAAATCAATCTATCAATTAGTCAACCCATGGAGGTTAGTGTGGGGGGGGCTTCCCACTGAAGTATTTTTTTCGAGTGCATTAGTGCATTATAAGTCCAGTCACCCCCCTGGGGGGTGATTTCTCACTTTCTGTCTCTGTCTCTCTCTGTTTCTCCAGGGAGCGCTTGCGCCCTATAGCAAAAACTAAAAAAAAAGAAGTCCAATCACTGTATAAGGAAGGACGTACTGTGTTGTGTTTATTTACCTTTTTATTAGAGCTCAGGTCCAGTAGTAGCACTCCTTGCTCTCTTTGACATGTCAGATACAAAGACCCTGGAACTGGGGTTTGGATGATGGAACTGTGATATGCATGCTTTCTTTATCTACGGACTGGAATATCACGGAACTTTCCGAGATACCGGAAGGGCCATTTCCATTATAAATTGAACCCATTATTTTAGCACAACAATAAAGACGTTCCAGAAGTTAGCTATTAATATAATGCTTTTGTTCAGTTAGTGGGCTTGCCTGTAACCAATGCTCACTGTTTTCACCGTCCTTTTATTTGTTTCTTTACGATAGGGAATCCCCGAAGTTAAGTCAACTGAACTGGAAATGGGCTGAGGAAGACAGACCGAAGCAGGCATATTAAAGAGCAGCTAACTCTAGTAGAGTGTAGCCACTCAGAGGAGATTTTCGTTTGAGCAGTTTCCTGGTGGTTTGGTGCGGTCATCAGCTTAAGAGAACTCTTGATTCCTTGGCTGCACAGAGAGAGAGTAGTGAAATAGCTCCCCCTGAATAACTTTGAATGACTTTGTATGACTTCGTATGGCCTGTGTTTCCACAGTTGTACAGTTGTTTAAACCTCTCCATTCTCTGAAACTGCCTGCGGGTAGAACTCAAACTAGGCAGTAAATAACCAGCCCTAGTAGGATTGGGGCCCGTCGACTAATTTGGCCCAAGCTCCGCTGCTCAGCCATGAGAATTGAAAGGGATGAGACTGATGGACCCCCAAGTGGGAGTAAGGTCAGAGTGGGGCTGAGATGGGAATGGGGTGCGGCAGCCCTGCCTTCTCGATCCTAGTCACAGCTTCTCTTGAAGGATTCAGTAGTCAGTAAATGACCAGCAGTTAGCGTAATGGCTATGTTGCTGGACTCACATAGTCGACCGCGGTTCGAGTCCTGGACCGGGTGGCTTAAACTCACGCCGGGCACGTGTGCGTGTGTGTCCAAGATCCCGGGAGGAGAACAGAGGAGAAGGGATTGCGGCGTGGCCATCCCCCCGGGGGGGTGATTTCTCGCTTTCTGTCTCTCTGTCTCTGTCTGTCTGGTGAGCACATACGCCCTATAGCAAAAACCTCTCCAAAAAAAAAAAAAACCTGAAGGAAAAAGAAAAAAGATTTGTAGTCAGTCATCAAAAAATAAAATAAATTACTATGAGTTTTCCCCTTTCCCTTCCCAGGGATCACAGCAGTCATTTTCTAATTTTTTTTTTCTTCTTTGAAGTGTTTTTGTCCGTAGTGTTTCATGTTAGAGTCATAGACTGTGAGCTTGGAAGCACCTGAAATGCCTCGAGTCATACTCTGCTCGGTACTTAACATATTCCTCACTCAGTTCTGCAGAACCCTGCCAGGTTGGGCTTCCAAAATCCACTCATGATGTCACTTGTCGTCTCAACCACCTCTTATTGTCTCTCTGTTGCCAGAGGATAAAGGTCAAAATCATTAGCCTCGATGGTGGGGCTCCACCCTCCTTCAGACTTCATTCCTTTTTATCCATAACAGAATCTGCTAACTCTCCGTCCAGATGTGAAGCTGAGTGTTCCCAATCTGAGATTTATTTCATGCTGTGCTTTTACATGGAACACCTGTTTCCTCTCTGTCTTGACCCTTCCGTCCCGCCCAGCTGAGGCCAGACACCGCAGCCCAGAGTGCTTTCTCTCCCATGGGATCTGCCTCTCTTGTTGAATCGATGTCGCAGTCTCCGCACGCCGCCCGGAACCGCTAGCTCTCCTGCAATGAGAGAGTGCCTTTCTCTTTGAGCGTAAGCTATGCGAGGGCAGGCCCCGTGACCGCGTCTCTCTGCCTCTCACAGTGCCTTGAACCATGTTTTGTCGGGAATGATGGAGCCAATGAATACTGCTAGTTGAAACAGAGAGAAGCTCATTTATACTGTCACCAGCGGTGCGGGTAAACACGTGCACCTTTTGCTCTTAGATATTAGTGTAGATTTTTCTTGAATCACATAAAGGAATGAATAATTTGAAGGAAAGCATTTGCCCATAGAAACAGAGCCTTCGGGGGCTTTTCCGAAGTCACCATAAGTTGACGCGCTTACAGACCAGATGATGGGCCATCAGCTCTCACCAACCTTGTGTCAGTCTGCAGACGCGCTTCGTCAAGTGCCGAGATGTGTACACAAAACTCAAGATTCCAGCACAAGCAGGAAGTCTCACGGAGGAGCCCCTGCCCTCAGCACCAGATCCAGACACTGTAGCGGTGCAGGTCTATGTCCGATGTGTCTGTGTGAACATTTCTTCTGTGATTTGTAAAGGCAGGGAGAGAGCGATCTGGACATCGGGGTCAGATGTGAGAGAAGGACTGATACATGATTTATGCTTTATCAATGAAACTGAAGTGTTGCTAAAAGAAATCATTAAATCGAGTGTTAAGACCGATTGCCACTTGAGACTAGAGGAGGGTGTTAGAATCAATAGTGTTGCGTGACTTAAAGAGGCTCTTGGCATCTGGGCACACAGGAGTAATCCCCGAGAAATAACTCTACTCCCTGGCTCTCTTGATGCAAACGGGAGTTCCTTCTCCAAGCGCTGAAAAGCGCTGCCCGCCTACCCCCTGGGAGGGCTTCTGCCTGGGAGTCATGAACTTACTGCTGCTTTCTCTCATTTTATTTCCTCAGTAAATAACTTGTGTAGCACTAGAAGAAAAATTCTAACAATAAAACCAAATCAGACCATCAAACAATATGCAGCGTACTAGGGTCTTCGTATTTGTTTGAGACCCTTAAAAGTTATTGTCTCCCTTTGACCTTAAAATGTTATCAATAGATCCTCTCCCCTAATTTATGTTTACCTTGTATATTATCCTTAGTAGCAAATAATTATTAATACAGTTGAATAAGGTCTTCAGAATCTTGTTAAGGAGTAGCACAAGCCAACCTCCCTGCTATTCAGTGTGGCCTCTGGGCCTGCAGGGCCAGCAGCAGCTGGGAGCTGGAGAGGAGTTGACTCCTGCCCCCCCCCCCCGACCGAAAGAATCAGACTCCACTGTAATAGGTTCCGGGTGGTTTACAGGCACCGAAGTGCTGCCCACATACTAGTGCACACACGTGCATTTTATACTGTACTGTAAAGTGGACTGCTTTGGAACCAGATGAATTTTTTCGGGAGAGGGAGAGGTTTTTACTGTAGGGCACATGCGCTCGCCAGAAAGACAGACAGAGAAAGCTAGAAATCACCCCCTGGGGGGATGGCCATGCTACAATTCCTTCTCCTCCATTCTCCTCTCGGGATCTTGGGCATACATGCACGCACACACGCCCGGCATGAATTTAAGCCACTGGGTCTGGGACTCAAACTGCAGTCGATCACATGGGAGTCCAGCAACATAGCCATTCTGCCAACTGCTGGTCCCCCAAAATATTTTTTTTTTTGGAGAGGTTTTTGCTATAGGACATGTGTGCTCGCCAGAAAGACAGAGACAGAAAGCGAGAAATCACCCCCCTCCCCCGGGGAGGGATGACCACTTCACAATCCCTTCTCCTCCATTCTTTCAGGATCTTGGGCATGCATGCACATGTGCCCTGTGTGAGTTTAAGCCACTGGATCCGGGACTTGAACCGCAGTTGACTACATGGGAGTCCAGCAACATAACCATTACACCAACAGCTGGTCCCCCCAAAAGAATTTTTTATTCCTGTTTTGTTTTTTTTTTAATTTCCCTTACTTTCCTAGAAAGTAGAATAAAAAGTAAATTCTAGTTGAGAATCTCATCTTCAGCTGATAAAATTACAGACACTGAAGTATATAATCACAAGGGTGCAAGGCACCCCCTAGAAATAACCTGTGACAGGGGAACCTTGCTGGCCAATGGAAGATTAAAGATGGCTCAGGGCTGGGGCTGCAGCAGTGGACCTGGATCAGGGCAAAGTGAGGGCCTCTAGATCACTTCTGCAACTCAAGTGGTTCCCCGGAATGCTGCTCAGAGGCCTGACTGGTCTGGGGTTGACCCTGAGATACAGGCCTCCTGGGCTCCCTGAAAACAGGGCAGTACAATTTCTCAGGGGTTCCCTATCCTCATTCCTCCAGAACAGCTTAAGACAGTCTCTCAGCTGAGGTGGACAGACTACCTGAGAACCCGTGACACGGGACTTTGCACTGACAACAATGTCAGAGGGACATCTGTGTGGGGCACTCTAGCTTCTAAACAATCTCCAAATGGAAACCTCCTAGGAGGCAAAGGTGTAGTGGGTAAGAGCATTGTCTTTACAACAGTAGATCGAAGTTCAAGTTCTACTAGGAGCTGACTATGATCTGGAGCTAGTTTACATATCCTCCCCAAAGCTCAATTTCCTTGTCTTTAAAAAGGTCAATTGGGGGAGATCAGCAGGTGGTGTAATGGTTATATCGCTGGACTTCCAGGTAGTTGACTGCAGTTGGAGGCCCAGACATGATGGCTTAAAACTCAGCCCAGGCATGTGTGCATGCATGCCCCAAATCCCAAGATTTCTCACTTTCCGTCTCTCTGTCTCTGTTTCTCCAGCAAGCACACATGCCTTACAGCAGAAATCTTGGGGGGTGGGAGGACAATTGTGAGGTTGAAGAGTACACACATAGCAGGGTGGTACAATTCTTGTCACACAGTAGGTGCTCAAGAAACATTAAATATCCTTTCTCTGTCAGATGGCAGCTTGCCCCAAATACCACTGAAGCTCCCTCCTACTTAAAAAGAGTAAGAAATTGGTGAAAACAGTTACTGATAATCCGTACTCCACCTCTCCTTCTGCTCTACAATGCAGACAAGAGAAATACTATTAACACCTAACTTCAAGTCACTATGGCTATGAATAAGTATCTTACATTTTGTCTCCCTTCCTAGTTGACTTTCGCACCTTTAATCCTCCCAACAACCTGTGAAGCAGGTGGTCTCATTCTCACTCAACTCACAAGACACCTGAGGCCCAGAGGGTCTGAGCCACATGCCCACTAACAGGTGACCCAGCCATGGCGGGTACAGATCTGCCCTTGAGTCCTGGTTGCATGTCTCTCCTGCACCCAGTCCCTGCATGCAGAGCGGAGCTTCCCAGAGCCTCGGAATCCCATTCTTCCCAGCCTGTGCTGGTCCCTGCTGCAATCCACATTCTCACCATTTTTTCTTCTCCCTGCCAGGCCAGCCCTGAGGTAGGCCACATTACGAGGTAGATGAACGAAAAGTATGGCTTGAATACTTAGCTTTGGCTTGAAAGAAAATAAACGGACCAGATACAACAGTTGTTTATGGAAGTCACCGCAAAATGTTGTATATAACAAACCATATTACAGATCTGAGTACAACAAAGATTTAAGTGTGAATGGCAGGCCAATCAGCTTGCAAAAGTTACATGCTAAAAGTCTAACTTTACAACCATAAGTTCGAGAAAGGGATGCAATTTATTGGACACATTTCACATTTTTTCCCCGTGAATCATTAAATATTTAAGCACCATAAAATTCAAGCATTTCACATTGATGTGGCAGCCAGCCTTGGTGGTTTAAAATGTATTATGCAGAGTTTCTGGAAGATAACAGTGACAATTGCAGAGTACTGATTTTTAATGTCATTGCTTGTTCCCTGCAGAACCCACCAATAGTGTCCCTGCAGGAAATTGTGATTTGTGTGTGTGTGTGTGTGTGTGTGTGTGTGTGTGTGGTATGGTAACTTTGAGAATTGAAATAAAACAGACATTAAGAATTGGCCAGGTATAAGTAATTCAATTCAGGAATTTATATGCCCTGTGAGAATCATAATTCTGCTGTTAAAAAGGGGAACAGATATTTTTCTTATTAGTTTATTTTAAACATAGGGTGTGGCCATACTAAATGCATGATGGCTGCTATGTATGTGCTAGGCAGATCATCTAACTTAATTTTTAACACTGGTAGGTGGTATGTCTTGTACCTGAGGAAGGAGGCCCGGAGAGTTGGTGGAACTCACCTAGGGTGATAAGGCAGAAATAGGGTACGGCCCTATTCAAACCCACGTTCCTCCAACTCTAAAGGCCTCATCTTTCCACTGTGCTTACAGGCCTACTAAGTAAACGTAACAGTGGTCAGATGTTTCCAGTGAGCTGATAGAAATATAAATCTAATCTAATTCCTAGAACACACTAACTGGGATGCTTTCTGATCATCTATAAGCAGTTAAAATAAAACCTTTGATAGAATCCAGTGTGAGTGGAGCCCTGTCACTGACTATGTTGTGAGCACCGATGAACATGTGTACAAGCTTCGCAGAGGCAACTAGGAAGCTCTTAAATCCTGAGGGCATCCAGATTCAACATGAGTGAAGTCATGCCATATTTCAGTAAAGTCTCCTCTCAGACAAATCTCTCCACATTTCTGAAATCTGTTTATGAAAAAGTCTCTTTTTAGGAGGGTTAGTTAAACCTTATCAATCGGCTTTCTAGCAATAACTGCACTAGGAGATTCTGGGTGCGCAGATACACTGAACATTAGGTATTTGAAAATAAATAGTTTATGTTTGTTATTGTTTTGCCAATGAGGACCTTATATGAAGAGATACTCATCTAATACCTAAAGACTGCTTATGGAATTGTCATAGAAAAAAATAATTTTAAGTGTCAACAAGGTGTTGTGCCCTGTGCTAGGCACTGGATATTCAAAACATGGGTGATGCACTTGCCCCTGCCGTCCAGCAGGGAATGGAATGTGCTGAGATGTTCAAAGAACAATGGGGGCAAAGAGAGAGGGAAGCCCTTGTCCTATTGGGAGTGCAGGGGGAGTCCACTTCTCTGGGGCATTCGCACCCCCTGTTAATTAGGTCTGTAAAGACAGGAGGTGTTTGCCAAGTAGACAGGCCAGGGGAGGACATCTCTGGTAGAAAAAGCAGCCCTCGTGCCATGGTCACTCTGTGAGTGTTGACAGCGCTGCAGAGTTCATTGTAACAAGAGACACTCCCAGAGGTGAGCTGCAGACGGCTCCTGGTGGACCCTTCTCCTCATGTGGACGTCATGGGCAGGATGCAAAGGATAAGCAAAAGCAAGTTTGGGTGGATTTTAGTTGAGGACTTGAAAGTGGAGGCACTGCTTGGGAGTGTAGGTGGAGAACAAAGGCTGTGTGAGACAGGCACAGAGAGGCCACAGAGAAGGGGCTTCCACAGGAATGGTGACTCAGTTTCAGTCTGGAGCGTGTAAAAGCCGGAGGAATGGGCCACTACAGCATGGCGACCTGCCCGGATGAATGGGCTCAGAGCAGAGACCCACGAGGAAGCCTCCCTGTCCTAAGCACCAGCCTCAGCGCCATTCCCGTTAGGCAACCTAACTGCACTGCAAGCAACCAGGCAGGGTGCGGTGGTCCTCGGGTAGAAGATTTTAATAAGGGTCATCACCAGGGACCAGCAGCTAGCGTAATGGCTATGTCGCTGAACTCCCATGTAGCTGACCACGGTTCAAGTCCCGGGTCATGTGTGTGTGCATACCCAAGGTCCCGAGAGGAGAATGGAGGAGAAGGGATTGCGGCGTGGCCATCCCCCCTGGGGAGGGGGGTGACTTCTCGCTTTCTGTCTCTCTGTCTCTGTCTTTCTGGCGAGCGCACGCACCCGATAGCAAAAACTTCTCAAACAAAACAAAACAAAACAAAACAAAACAAAACAAAAAAACAAAAAACCAGGATTATCACCAGTAATGGGTTAGGAGAACAACACTAAATCTTTGTTCATCATCTTCACAGAGAAGGCATATTCTAAAGCACACTGATGTATAACAAGGTGAAGAAAATATGGCTTAAAATAATGGAGTCTTCTCTTCCAAGATACTATTTTTCCTATGGTGTTATCTTTTGATCACTTAAAATACACTTCCTAAACCAGAAGGGTTGCATTTGTGCCACATTTGGGAGAGGGCTCTGCATCCCTGTATGTTAAAGTCTCGTACCTCAGACTCACTGTGGATTAAATTGTCCACTTAATTCAGGCAGTTTATTTTTTAAACTTATTTATAAAGTGTATTAAAAGCTTATTCCTTTTTAATTAAAATTTATTTCATGAAACAGAGAGAGATGTATCCTCAACAGTGGCTAACAGCATGTTCAGTAGCCGGGATCATAGGCACGGTGCACATGTGTACCCATGCAGGACCACCTAGGAACCAAAACCCAGTCTTCCATATGGCATCGCAGGGTGTTAGTTACTGCTGCACCACTGCAGTTAGACCCGAGATAATAGTCTAATACCAAAGTTAGTGTTTTATGATCATTTCATAAGCAAGATGTTGCTTCTGATGTTTCATTTATCACCCTTATGTCTTTCCAGAAAATGTCCTTAGGCCAAATTCATGATGAACTTTGAGGAGGCTTGACTTTGGGTAATAAAGTGTTTGGAAACAGAAAGGTGTAATTACAAATAAGGTTGAAATTGGCATAAATTTCGGGTATCAAAGCATAATTAACATCCTGTAACATAGTTTAAAAAATCAAATGGGTCAAATGAACTAGGAAATACTCTGTTATGATGAGAAATATTTCATCATAAAATGTACATTTTCCTTTTCACCAAAAAGTACTCTTAAAATAAATTGCCCTCCTGTGGGCAGCCTGTAGCAAGATTCATTTGAAATGTGTTCTGCATGTAAGAGCTCATTACTAATCAAAGTTTGGCAAGAAAAACATTACTTATAAACAAAACTTTAATTGAGATTTTCTTCTCTCAATTATTTTTAAGTGCACTGAAACTAACCATTAAAATGAGTGTCACTCTCTTTAGTTTTCTCTAAAATGACATTTTTAAGTTGAGGAAAGCGAGTTTCTTAAAAAATCTTTTCTAATAAACCTTTTGATTTTTAGGCTCAGGCCACAGAATTCCTAGCACTATAGAAAACAAATCTTTTGCCATTCATAAAGCTACTCATTATAAGTTGACATGCCTTATAAACTTATATAGAAAATACTAATGCCAAATGTCAAGCTGCTGCCTTGGTACCATATGATATAAAAATAGAAGCATGTTTTTTTTAATTGGCAAAATAGGATGCTCTTGCAGAAATCAATCACAGGCACATGAAATCGAAATTGTAGATTGTCTTCACTTTGTTTAAAGATAGTGCCCCGCATCTTCCTGGTGGGGTGACCCTGACTTAAATGAAGCTTCTTACCTAAGTTTAATTAAGTCGGCCCTTAATTTTCTCCCAAGTGCATAATGATAGCTCTGTCAGGTCCCAGTGTGAGCTGCCATTATGTATATGGAGGAGAAGTGGCCATTGTGAGCAGCGAGGAAGCTCTGCAGGCCCTCTCAGGAAGAGAGGAGATGCTTTGTATGAGAAGCCTGAGTAAGCCCCGTGCAGCCTCAGTCCCATTAGCAGCGGCAGGAGACAAGCTGGACCCCCACAGGGGAAAAGCAGTCTGTTTGGAAGTTCACTGCAATGGGGAGTCCATTTTTTTTGTGAATCGCTACCTTAATATTCAAGGTCCCAGTGTGAGCTGCCATTATGTATATGGAGGAGAAGTGGCCATTGTGAGCAGCGAGGAAGCTCTGCAGGCCCTCTCAGGAAGAGAGGAGATGCTTTGTATGAGAAGCCTGAGTAAGCCCCGTGCAGCCTCAGTCCCATTAGCAGCGGCAGGAGACAAGCTGGACCCCCACAGGGGAAAAGCAGTCTGTTTGGAAGTTCACTGCAATGGGGAGTCCATTTTTTTTTGTGAATCGCTACCTTAATATTCATTAATAGCTTTTAGGCTCTTAATCCCTTATTGAATATATTTTTTTTCCATAATTGCTACTTTTCAAAAGGGTTGCCAAAGTAGGCATTTCTATTCTCTGCAAGATGCAGAAGAGAACATAATGTTTTATATTCATCTGCCACGTGTTTAGGCTGATGTCGCCTCTCTGAGAAACGGGCTGTGGCCCTTTCTAGCGTAAAGATTCATTGTGCTTTGAAATGAACCACTAACGCAGGCTGTGTGCAGGTTTTCCTTTTCTGTTTTTCCTTTTTAAAATTGCTTTGGGTCATGGTTTTACAATTATTTAAAGTGCATGGAAAAATAGATTACAGAGGTAATTTTGAAATGTTGAAAATCTCTTCTTCCTAGCTTCCTGTGTCAGGCTATTTATTTATTTTTCCCTGTAAAATCCACCCAGAAGCCCACTGTATTATAGAGTAATTGACTTCAATGGTTTGAGGTGCTATGAACCAGTAATATGAGGTTTTCAGGAATGTAATTTGAAATCTGGCCTTTGTCATCTATTTGCCTTCCTGTAAATTAGCATATTATAAAATAAAGCCACTCTTCCATACTCCTCAATAACAAAAGGGTCTCTGAGTTTTCTCTAGATGGGTAGATCTGTAAACAAGTCCGTGAGTGTAGCATTTGCTTAACCTGTAAGGAACAGGAGAAGGGATCCGGGGACTGCGGGAATAACCGCGTTGACACAGAAGGCACTGCCGAAAGCACAGTCGAAAGGAGCACCATTGAATCTCTTAGCACGGCCTAGAAGTCTCAGCCCCTAGGAAGTTTCTCTGGGGATGCCTTGGCAGGTGGCGCCTTCTCTAACTGTACTTCATGCAGACTTGGCACCTGCTGATTTTCTGGCGCTGGGCCTGGCTTTCTTTGAAGGTGTCTGGTAAAGGGGCAGAGGAAAACTGGAGGTCTGGTCTCACTGTGGTCAGCCAGAAGCTGTACTTGTTTGCAAAAAAGTGGCAAGTTCCCTGCCGGCCTTGGCATTCAAGGAATGGTGCGGCTCTGAAGTCTTCCAGGCAGCTGCCGGGTGACATGAGGGCCTGTCCTCCTCCTTGGTCTCCAGCTCCTGTGTGCTACCCAGACAACGGGAGAATTAGGGTCAGACACATGCAGACACCCCCAGGCCAAGTGACACAGATACACTGAGGTCTGGGCCTGATCTTCACATTTTTCCTTACCTTGTCCCACAGAGCACAAAAGACTGTTAATAAAGGAGTACAAATAAGCATTTTTGGTGTGCACATAAAATGGAGCCACTTTCGCTGATGGCTGAGGTCAATCCATCTTCTAAGTTCTATCAAAATGACTTTTTAAAAAATTGACAAAAAAAAAAAAAGCCCTGGGACTAGCAGATGATGTAATAGTTACATTGCTGGACTCCCACGGGGCCGACTGCAGTTTGAGTTCCAGACCTGACAGTTTGAAACTCTCACTTGAGTGTGTGTGCACAAGATCCCAAGAGGAGAATGGAGGAGAAAGGATTGCAGCCTGGCCATCCGCCCTAGTGGGTGATTTCTCGCTTTCTGTCTCTCTGCCTCTCTCTGTCTCTCCAGCAAGTGCATGCACCCTATAGCAAAAATCTCTCAAAATAAATAAAAATAAAGGCCCTGCAGTGAACAGGCTGAGGTTTGTGGTGGCTTCAAGATCTCACGTCTTGTTGCAGTCTGTCTGTCTGCACAGACTACACGAAGTCCGGTCCAATCCTGACAGATTAGAAGAGACCAGTGGTAAGTGACAGGATTCAAGGGCAGGGGACTCACCATCAGGAACGAGTACCCTATCCAGAGGCTCCTCCAGGTCCGCGGACACGGGGGCACGGCCTGGTCCTGGCTGTGTACCGCCACGGCCTGCGCGGGCGCCTCGCACACAGCGCAGCGGCTCACGTACGGGCGGATCTCCTCCTCGGAGAGCGGCCTCATGGGGAGGGGCGCGGCGCTGGCCAGCCAGTAGGACCTGTCGTTCCTCTGGGCGTAGTGGCACACTTGGTGGACATTGCAGTACGCAAAGGGCAGGGTGCTGAACACAGGGAGGCACGACCCTGCCAGACCTGGGGAAGAAAGGAGAGACAGCTGGTGCCGGCAGCTTGCACCATGCGCCTTCAGACAGTGTTCTGGTGGTGGAGGGCCTCACCAAAACCTACTTCTGCCACCTCCCCTGTCCTGGGGACCAGCCCTGGTCCACTCATCCCTCCCTCAGCCAACCAGTGGGCCGGGCGCTGGAGGTGAGCAGCAAGCCCATCTCCGTTGTCACAGAGCTCCTGCCTGGTGAGGTGGACGAGCAAACAGGCCATGCACACGCTGCATGATGAGCCATGAATGAGGGGCGAGGCCCATGGGACCTTTTGGAAGGAGAACCGAGAGGAGTTCACTGAAGCCAGGACTTGAGATAGGAAAGGGTTTGGAGGTGGCAGTGGCGATCCAAGGAGCAGATACAGCCGCAGAGAGAGCCAGAGGGCAGAGCATGGAGCTCAAAGACTCCAAGACGCTCAAGAGGGGGGACCCAACGGGGAGCATGTCTGTCTCGGTGGTGTCCAGAGGTCAATCAGACCCTAGGATGTGGGCGCTTGCAGAGCTGTAGAAGGGGCACTCTATCTAGACCAGGGCAGGAGAAATGAGGCTGTTACTATAGAGACCAGCAGGAAGAAGACTGACGGCAGAAGAGAGGAGAAAACAGAGTCAATATTGCAGGAAGAAGACTGACGGCAGAAGAGAGAAGAAAACAGAGTCAATATTTAAACATTACTTCTCCCTGTTTTCAAAGAAATAGGCCCCGTGGTGAGAAAGGCCATGGCCGAACCAGAGAGAGAAATGGAGGGTGTGTACGCAGCAACTACCCTAGGCCTGCTCTCGGTGACCCCTTACTGAAAGCCGTGATCAGCCTATTTGCTGCATGAACTGTGCCCGACGGGTGCCCAAGGACACAGCTATTAAGAATTTCATCCCTGGAAACAGAGTAGAGGCTGTAGCCATCAGGGACATCTCCAAAGCAAGTGTCCTTGATGCCCGCGTGCTCCCCAAGCTCCATGTGAAGCTACATTACTGCGTGAGTCGTGCCATTCATAGCAAGTGGTCAGGAATCGACATCACGAAGCCTGGAAGGACTTAACACTCCACCCCGATTTAAACCTGCAGGTGCTGCCCCTTGCCCTCCACCAAAGCCCATGTAAGGAGCTGAGTCTTCAAGCATGGAAGAACTATTCTCTGGGAAAAAATAAAATGCAAATTATACATTAAAAAAAAAGGAAGGAAGGAAGGAAGGAAGGAAGGAAGGAAAAAGAAAGAAAGAAAGAAAGAAAGAAAGAAAGAAAGAAAGAAAGAAAGAAAGAAAGAGAAAGGAAGAAAGAAAGAAAAGAGGAAGAAAGGAAGGAAGAAAAAGAAGGAAAAAGAACGAAAGAGAAAGAAAGAAAAGCAAGCTGGGTTCACAGCCCCTGGCTTCACAAGACTCACCTCACCATCAGGGTTTCTGCTGGTTTATCCTTCCTACACCTCCCCCCACCCCACCCCAGCCACCATGATCTTGGAAAGACCCTGTCTGCCAGCACCCACAGTCGGGTGCTTAATGCCTTGCCTTGAAATTGGTATCTGCAGCTCAACAATCTGTTGAAAATGGACAAGGAGCACAAAGAGATGACCCTCAAAATAAAATTCTATAATTTAAAAATAGGTGGAGTAGGGTAAGGAGCTGAGGCCGGCACGCACCACAATCTAGAGCCATCAGAGTGCTACGGCTGTGCCATTTTGCACTGAGATGCAGGAACCGAGCAGGTCCTGATGAAAGGGTTTACATTTGGAAGTGAAAACTGCATTTTAGAACAGAATTCTATTTAACTGAGGAAGAATAATTTTTTAAAAACCAATAATAACTAAGTAGCCAGCTAATACCTATAGCCAGAATGAACTTCGTTGGCACCTCATAGGAGCATAGGTTAATAGAATTAGTTGACAATTAGTGTAGTAGCTTTTTTTTTTTAAAAAAAAAATAGCAATCTCCCTCAGAGGATTAGTGAACACTGAAGATATTGACGAATGTGTAAAATTAACCCCCAAGTTTTATTCTTCGGGCAGTGGGCATGGATGGCCCTGTGGTCTCTCCATACCGAGGTCTTGATTGTGAGCCTTCTCTTGTCCTTCCAGGTATAACAGACTATACCCAGTCCAGAGCTTGGGCATGCCCGCAGGGCAGGTGGGTTCTCGATCTGTCTGACTGTGGAGAACTAGGAGGAAGCCACTGAGGTATCCAGGGCCAAACCCTTTGGGCCCAGGATCCCCAATGGGACCAGGGGGGCCTGGAAAAATAAAGAAAAGAAAAGTTTAACAGATTAAAACATTTAACAGATATTTCCAAACACCTGAATTTCTATGCTGTGCTAAGCAGTCAGGGAAGGTGGGAACCAGGCATGGTGCACGGTGCATTCCCTGGGACACTCCCCCATCCCACAAGGCCACAGTGCACACAAACAGACCTCCTTCATTTTGGGCCCAGGATCCCCAATGGGACCAGGGGGGCCTGGAAAAATAAAGAAAAGAAAAGTTTAACAGATTAAACATTTAACAGATATTTCCAAACACCTGAATTTCCATGCTGTGCTAAGCAGTCAGGGAAGGTGGGAACCAGGCATGGTGCACGGTGCATTCCCTGGGACACTCCCCCATCCCACAAGGCCACAGTGCACACAAACAGAACTCCTTCATTCCCAAGCCACTTCCATGCAGGCTGTATTAGCAGAAAAACAGAAAACAGGAAAATCCCTTTCCTCCTCGCGTGTCCACTCCACAGGAGGAAGAGAAACAACAGACAATAAGAGTAGTAAAGAGGTAAATTAGGAAACATGTTAGGACAAACCAGGCTGAGTAATGACATCCAAATGTGTCTCAGAGGGTGGGAGCCTGCTTATCTAAGAGGGAGCCTCCGCTGGCCCTTCTTACACCTCCCAGATCTTGTTCATGGTGGCAGCATATTGCCAGTCCCTTCTGAGAAGGCAACTTTGGCATCCGCATGCATGACTTGGGATCTCTTCTTGTTCAAGGGAAGAAAGTGGAAGGAAAGCCTAGTCTAGAATTCTCGGCAATGGGAAATGAACCACTCTTCAGAGTTGGAGCCGGGCCTTCACCTATGAAACCTCTAAGGGGCTGACCTGTAGAAGAAGGCCAGTGCCTAGTTCTAATTGCCAAGAGCAAAAGGTTCGAGTTAGACTTGAAACCCAAGGGTGTTTTGTTTTTGTCTTTTCTAGCTGGTTTCTGCAAGACTGACAGGCACTCCCCAATTACACTGTAAACCAGAGATTACAAAGGAATAGCTGTGGATGTAGACAGGCTGCTCACATGTTTTGTTTGACCTGTAAAGATTTCACAAGTGGAAATTTGGACTTGAAAAAAGCAGCATAGGGAACATCAGATCTGCACTTCAGCAGGCACCAATTGGCTGGAGCTGAGCTGCAGCCTGTAGGCATGGGTGCCATCTTGCTGCAGATCCCACCTAGTTCTCTTCCTCCTTACTCCTCATCTCTAACTTATCACTCTTT